GCAAACTGAGCTGTAAAACATCGCAGACCTGACAGGTCCTCTGGTGAGCCTCCAAGCTGAAGCGGCACAAGGGCAATATGGCCCTTAAGTAGCTCTACTGAAGCTCACTGGTGGCTGAACACTCAACCATCTATCTAATGGTCACTTATGAACAAAGGTTTTCAGGAGTGAAGTTGAACAAACAGGGAACTTTGTAATAGAATACGTTAAAGATGAGGAGGATGTAAAGTGTCCTCCCATTTTATATCATTTGGATGACACTTCCAAGATTAAACTGGTGGATAACTTACTTGATATCATCTTAATTTGGTCCATGTTGTTGTCCTTTAGGTGACACCAAGAGATTTTTATCAAGATTTCTTTTCAAGATGTGGAAATCATTTCAACTTGCAATAAGATTACATTTTAATGTATGTTAAAATACACTTTTAAAAACCTGCATGTGATCCAGGAATGGAAAATGTTGCTTACCTGCCGCTGATGTCAGGTTGAGAGGAAGCAGGCCTGAGATGTCTGGGTGTCGAGGGGGGAAAGATGAATGAATGGTGTGCAAAGAAAATGATTTCGTAGTTTGTTCCAAATTCTGAACTAGCCATTGCTTCAGGCTACCGCTGCTGACATAAACTGTGGCACATGTGATTTCTTACTCCCAGCACAAATTATAATAGTTTGGACTACTGGTGCTCTGGCTCCGAGTCGTCAGGGGCACTGGAAGAGAAATTGGTTTTGAGCCTAAAAGAAATAAACAGATTGTAACAAAAATAAATGTTTTTATAGGCTCTTTGCAAATCATGTAAATCCCAACACGTCTTTATTAAGGACCGCTACTTGAAAGGTGTTGATTGCACTGACAAAGTGGGATACTTATAGCAATAGCCATATTTTGTATTTTAGCTTTATAGAGCTTTTAGCATCTTTCAGTTTGTTAGTTTGACATCAGTGTCTTTTAGGGTCTTGTTTTGTTTTATAACTGTATTGCTTTGCTTCAATCTCACTGTTATCAGCAGCTATTTTCAAGCTCTGAAAACCCACTTTATGCTACCAATTCATTAAATGGATGACAGACAAGTTAGCAACACACTAACTAGCACTAGTCCCAAAAAATTGATTCTGTTCATCTGGACGATGCACTTTCAGTGGAAGAAACGTTCTGTCACTCATCCAAGTGACTTTTGCATAATGACGTAATGCAAACTGTCCTGACCACTGATCAGTGGCAACTTGCATATTAATGATCATGAAAACTGACCTCACAGACCATTGTTTATTCAGTGCTTCTAGTTTCAGTCATTATGCAAATGTACTGTTTATAAGGTTGTGGAAACATGCAGTAAGCTGAGACTGAAGAAGTCACTAGAATAAGTGACGAGACATTTCTCCCACTGATAAAACAACGTTCAGACGAACAGAATCCATATTGGGGGGGATTTCCTTAGCTGCATAATTTAGCATGCCATAAGATAACTAGCACTACCTTTTAGATGAGGATACTGTGTTTCCAGGTATTTTCTCTAGACAGTTCATCACTCACAAAGGCTTAGTCAAAATAGAGCGAGAAAAGGATCAACCTCCTTGTGACTATGGACGATCCATGATTGCCTGATGATTTCAAGTAGTTCCAGCCAACAAGTTTGCAACAAAGTTGCTCAGAAATTGAGCATGCAGCACCCTCAACCTCTGGATAACTATTTGAGTACTAGTTTTAAACACTAGGCAACTGCAAAGGTCACCTGGTGAGAGGCAACCTGTCTCTAAACTCAAAGTGACTGCAGTCACTCTCATATTGGTGGATATTAACAAATAATTACCAAGTGCTTTACAAATGGATATAAATGGAGACGGGCTGCCAGGACTTTGTAATCATTCTATGTCAGACTGTGGCAATGAGAGAAATTTGTCTGCACTGTCTCTCTTTGACTCAAATTGACTCTCTTTGTTGTACTCAACTTCAAAGAGAAGAAGCAGAATATAGTAGTTAATATGATTTTTTGATATTTTTTGGGGGGGGTTTGTATGTAGATGGCAACAGATTTGTGATTTTTGTCAATTTTTCACAGTTAATCATCGTATTAACCCAAAGAGACTGCAAGTAATTGCCAACTTAATCCCATTCAATCACAGGCTGATAGTAGACTGAATCTAATTGCTGTCTTGATGCACCAAAGCCACTTTGAAAATCCTAACTGACTGCAAGTGATTGACCTTTCTTTAAACCAACAACTTCAAAGGCAACAAAATGGGGATTTTCTCGCAAGAACTTTGGATGTCCTGTGGTCTCCATAACAGACAGCCATTCTCACCTATGGCCAAATTAGAATCACCAGGTAACTTTACATGCATGTCTCTGGGAGAAGCCCATAGATGCACAGGGGGGGTCTTGAAAACTCCACACAGAAAGACCTCAGCCAGTAGACTTAAACCTGGGACAATTTCTCTTTGGGGGAACAGTACTAACCACCGTGCTGCACAAAAGCAGGCCAAATTAGCTTTAAATAAACACTTTAGTAGTAGACAACAGTATTTTTGTTAATTCTGTTCATTCATGTAGTGCATTAATGTGCACTCACTGCAGACTGCTGTATGCTATCAACAAAGAAATTCCAGGAAAATAATCAGTGCTAGTGTTAAAGCAGGTGGGAGGACATATATCAGCAACTATGTCATACATACTTTTTCCCCCAACTGATAAGAAACCATTACAACCACGATGTAAGTTCCTATATTTAGGGTAAGTGCAGGGAGCAGCCCATTTACTGACACGGTCAAGCTTAACATGAGAACTAAATTCAAGGGTGGCCAAGATCCTTGCAGGCCATCTGCCAAGAATCCAATATAGCAAATGGTTGGATCTGTGTAAGCCCTAAGCTGAAAATAAAGTCGCTATGCTTAAAAAGTGCTAGCATGCTTTAATGCATATGGAATACAAATCCTGGCTGTGCCCTGTAGGCCAGGCTTTTATCCACTTCCATACAGCATGCCCCGTGAAGTTGATTCATTTGGGCCAAAACAGAAGCTTTTATCAACTTTGGCTGTGACTAACACGCTGCTTGGAGTTTGAGGAAACTTTTAAAAAGCTACTTTCCTTTATCTCACGATGTCATGGCCCTCAAGAGTTAGCCAAGAAATCCAACGTATCAAAAATGACCATAGACAGCAAATCAAGATGAAGAGTGTCATGCTGGTGGTGTTTGCCACCTGCTTTGGGACAGAAGTGAGGGGAGCGTGGGGTAAATGTGGGGTCATGGCTGTCAGCAGCCTCTCAGTTATACAGGCCAAGTGGGACTGCAGATATGAGAAGGGGAGAAACTGCAGTGATGACATGATGAGGGACACGAGGGTTACGCAGTCACCGTCTTCATTCAGCGCTGCACGGCCTGTAAACTCTGTGACGAGCTCGGTCTGTGTGTTTGTGTGCGCAAACATTCCTTTAAGCCGTTTTCTCTCAGGGCTCTGCCCTTGTGTTATGTGATGCTCCCACAGTGGAGGCCTGTCCACGACCCCTATAAAAAGAGAAGGATGCCCACTTCCTTACACCCTGAGGCATGCCAGTCCAGCCTCAAGGGAGAGGGGCCCCATAATTTATTATTTGTTCCCCTCTTGTTAAGGAAATACTTTCTCAATAGCTCTTTCTCCTTTGTTTATTTTTACTGTTCTTATTTTCGTCCTTGATCCAACCCCGTCTTCTCTTATTTATTTGCTTTCTAAACACCAGATTGGTTTGGTACATTCAAGCTGCCATGAAGAGACTTTAAAAAATTACTTTTGTCCTTAGTGAGGACAGTGTTTATTTATCTGACTGAACCTGAAGGGATATGAGTATTTTGGGAATACCTATGTGTAGGTGACAGCTGAGCTGAGCTGTACAAGCTGACCCTGGTTTCCATTACCTCAGGCCTTAATCAGATTCCTCTGCTGCGCATTGAAGATATGTCGACTGATACAGCGAGCTCGGGTGTCATAATTTATCAGCCGAGCTCTGCCACTCTTGATTTAAAGACATTCCTGCACCATGTGAACTTGATTCACACAGTCTATGTTGTGTATAATGATGTCTTTCACCAAAATCACACCGAAGCATTCAATCTCACACCAAAGTGACCAAATCTTCAGTTATTCCCAGCAGTGGCTTCTTTATTTGTTGGTGTCGGTCAGGTTTTTGCAGCTTTCTCAAACCCCCTCATCCAAAACAACCATCAAGGGAAGAAAAAGAAAAAGGCAAAGCCACTCGCTGACTGCTGATCCATGACTCAGCTTTGAAAGTCTCCACCTCCAAATCAAATTGTCCGGCTTTAAGGAGGAGAGGTGCCTGCCCCGGGCCATGCAGTGTCACCGACCAGCTTTGAGGGGTTAATGCACATTTTTCTCAGTTGTCAGGGACGTGTGATGGGGGCGAAAGAATACAGAGGAGCACAGAGGTCACTGCTCTCCAAATATCAAGAGCCTTTGAAATACTTAATTGTGTTATAAAAGAAGGTGAAAATACCAACTTTCCAAAGGCAAACAACCTTTAAAAGCTCCAGTGGACCTTGTCAAGCATCTCGGTGGGTTTGCTGACCTACCTCAGGATAATGTTTATTTATTGGTATTTGATCAGAGTTAAGTCATCATGAGTTGTGTTTATTTTTCTACCTATGGAGTATTTTCTTTATTTGTGGGTCATTCTTATGTTTAATTGTGGATGTTCATTGCATTGGTTGACTTTTTATTCTACTGAATTTACGCATTTTAGTCTAAAAAACAAACAAAATGACGCTAAGGAGCAGCTGTTAGCATAATGGAGCATATCTATATTTATGGGTGCCATATTTCCCATTACAATACTTCATTTTGACTCAGTTTAAGTTAAAAGATTTCATTACTCCTCTCCTTGAATATTTTTACTTCTTGGGGGTTGGGGGTAGTGTTAAAACAACTATACACACCGGTGGCTATCAAAATCCCAGCACTTCCCACAAAAGCCCATGTCATAAGTGCATACAGACCTGGGTAATGTGTTTTTCCAGGTTCTGAATATATGCTATAAAGCTAGGGTACATGCATCAGGACCCTGGGAACACAGGATCTCTTGTCATGTTCCGATTATGTACCACATAAATCTGGAGAACGTAGGACCCTGGGAACACAGGAATGACTCATGTTAACGATAGACTGCATAAACATCCATTGATTTTGAGGCCTTAGTGCTGAAGTTCTGTTAGTCAGAAGTGACTGTGTTTGGATGAAAGGGTGCAGTGCTAGGTTATTAGCTAACGATAGCTAGCTTGGTTAGCAGGCAAAATAAACCATACAAGTGCAACACAGTCACAAATTACAGCAAATTAACTAAGAAAATGGTAACGCTAAAAGAACATGACAGACTAAAAGTCAAACAAAGTCTCCTTGGATGGTCTGGAACACAGAGAAAATGACATATTATGTTAAATAACTCCCTTAAAGCGGTGCTAACAGCACAAACATGGAAAAGTCCAGTTCAATTATTGTAATTAGTTCAGCTTTTTATCGAGGAACCATAACAACCAAACATGTGTTTAATAAAAACGTTATGTAATTGTCAATGTTAGTGCTGATGTAGTGACTTTAAAAGCAAACAAATAAATGCAAATAAATGCAAATAAAATACAAGTGTGAGTATTTTTCCTGTTTCTTAAGGACATGACTTTCAGATGATGTTCATCTGCTGTACATGTTTTTAGATGGTTATATCTTTATTTTTAGGATTGCCACTTTTTCTTTTGTTCTCCACTTATGCAATTTCCTCCAACTTTTTGGCACACATTGCACCGTCTCCTGAGAGATGCCAGTTTTTCAGCTAATAGGTCTTTGGAAATGCACACAAAAGTTGTCTTTTAGGTGTTTTCATGTGTAAATGACTTGTGAAGTAACTTAACTCGCTAATAATGACGATAGAACATCTGCACCAGATTTAAATTTAAATTAAAATCATAAAAGTGTATTTGTATTCACCCCAGCTCCGATTCATTAGACTAGCATCACTTGCTAATAGCATTAAGCATGTATGGAAGCATCGGTGATGAGAAAAACTAGTTCAGTTTAGAGTGATCGCCTTCTCTTCTATTTCTAGGCTTTTTTTCCCAAGTTTAATTTCCAGATAACGTTCTGCTGTGGGATTCTTTTTCTATGAGTATTGTGTTTTCCTCTTTGATGTTTTTCACACAATGTTTGCACATGGAACTACTTTTCAGTAAATTTTCCCCAAAGTCCCATTTTTTTTACATCTGTCTTCCTGGCTCTACATTTCAGGAGGAAAATTACTCCATAATCACTAACGATGGTCGTTCTGTGTGAGGAAATGGGTAAGGATGTGTACAGCATCACTTTTCCTGTACATGGCAACAATGCACAAGACCAGGAAAGAGGGTGACTTTCCTAAAATACGGCATGTTAGGGTGTAGTTCCTGCTACATTTTTAGTATGAGGGATATTTTGGAAGCACTGGGACGTTGTTAAGCTTTAAATATTAGAAAGAAAGAAAAACCCTCCATTTCCTATTCTCTGAGAAAACCCTTTCTGAGCCATCCATTCTTCATGTCGGGGCATTTAAAGAAGTCACCGATGCCACACAACCACTTCCCCAGTCACTGAGCTCAAGTTCATGGAGTGTGGCTAATCTTATCTGATCAGTTATTAGCAGCATTTTTCATCTTTGTGGCAGAGCTAACAAGCCTTTGAGATCCCTAATTGCTGGGAATGTGCAAATCTCACGTTAAGCATGAAGATGAATGGAAGAAGGTTCACTGAACATAAATCACTCTGCTCTACAGTATGGGAGAAAGTCTTAAGCCTGAGGATTCACAAGGGGTTCTCATGAACCAGGAGTTTTAACAAAAGAAATCACACAGCGTGGGTTGATCTCTCAAGCAACTAGTTTTATTCAATTTAAATCTAAAGAACATTTTGATGCTTGTGCAGAGGCAGCAACCAAAAATGATTTATCGCAGACGGCTTTAACATTGTGTAGAAAATAAGGAAAAGATTACTAGGGAATGTATTACCGAATGCTTATTTCCGAAACGACGGTAAATTGGGACACTGCTTTTGAAAGAAGCAATGATTAATCACACAGAGTTTTTCTTGTGGAAAGATCCAGGTGCTCATTTTGAAAGAGCTGCAGAAAAACAACTTCATGAACCATTTGAAAAGCAAACACAGCATGCTGGACTCTCGGCCGTCAAAACCAACTCAAATGTATGGCTGAAAAAGCAAAGGGAAGGCGAAACGCTTTTAGTTAAAGAAGAGAGAGCCGTCATTGTCTTTGTTAACAGTGACGGGGTCGCAGGTTAAGAGCCAGACAGAGGCTGAGTGATGGACGAGGTGATATCAGAGCGGGAATGACTCCGCGGAGCCGCACAGTTGAGGGTGTGTGTGTGTGTGTTTATCTGCGATTGCGTGTCAGTCTTGTTCAACAAAGAGGGGACAAAGCATTTATGAGTCATATCAGAGAGCTGGTAAAGATAAAACCCCACTTAACGAAATATCCCTTCCAGACGCTGCATGGATACACACTCATCCCACAGCCCCCACCAGTTTTAGACAGCTCCATCTTTCTTGGAGTATCAGGGTCATCTGCCAGAAACCTGTAATCAATGGCCCGGCTTACTGTAGGCCTCCAGACAGCATTAATCTGTCATACTAAGTTTACGTCTGCTCAAAATGCCGAATCGTTGCGTTAAGCTTCATCGAAGTGCAGAAATGGGGTCTGTTTTTACGCGTTTGTCTTTTGTCTGTGTTGGGGAGCACAACCACAGTCAGGACAGCCGATCTGACTGCTCAGGCTTAAGTCACAGGCTGCACAGTCTCTCCTCCTCTTCCTCCACTAGACTCCTGAACAACAGAAGCACATAAAAACACAACACACAGGTTATAACTCACAGAAGCAGGAACGGCATTCACTAATTAGTCATATATTGGCAGATCCAGAGTAGAACATTATTTTCTCAGTTACTCAATTAGTTTGGACAAGCCAAGTAAACAGCTCATCACTCATTTAATAACATGCTTAACTTCAATAAAAGCCTAAAAAGAGTTTACACAAATAAGCTAAGGTACTTCTTGTTTAAAATCGAACACCTAGCCATGCAGGCAGACTGTACAAGCGTTTGTGAAAGATCAAGCAGTTCAAATGAGCTCGCTAAACAGGAAGTTCCTTTTGCAACAAGTCAGTTTGTGAAATTTGTTCCTTTTAGATATTTCATCATCAACTGCAAGTGATAGCAAAGCGGAGGACGTTAGGAAACATAGACCAAAGTAGCTGACAAGAAAACAGAAGCAGGATCGTCAAGTGCTGAGGGGGGGTGATGCACAAACGCCTTCACTGCTCTGCTGACTCAGTAACTGTAGAGCTCCAAACGTCCTCCATCACTAACATCAGCACACAAACCGGGAACTTTGTGTTATGCATTTCCATGGCTGAGCAGCTGCTGTGGTGACCCAGGACTTTCGCCCATCATTTTATGTTATTCTCATATAACATGACATATTATCGTCTTATAAAGCTGCCAGTTCCACAACTAGCATATAGAGTACCGTCAGAATTTGAAGTCATGGTTTTCTCCACTTGAATGGATTTAATGTGGATTTAAGTTGAACACTGTTTCACTTGTTTTTCATCTCTGAGGATAATATCGACTGCATTGACTGTATACACAAAAAGGGTGAAGTCAATGTGAGACAGGCAGAAGACAGGAAGACTGTTAGATGAGAAGAAAGTGGTTAGCATGATTAAAAACAGCCTAAGAACCACTAAAGCTCAAGCCTGCCATGAACTGGAAACTGCATTACTGTCTACAGTGATGTGAGTTTTAGATCATCATGAATTGAGAGGGTACCAAACCAGATTGAAGCCCATGCTCCAAAATCAGCATCTTCAAGCTTGACTGAAATTAGCAGCTTCCCACAAGAACTAGCCAAAATCTTTCTGCAGGAAAATGTTTTTCCTGCAGAAAGATTTTATGTTCATAAGCAAATTTGGCCACATGACAATGTATGAGTAAAGCTTTGAGGGTCTCATAAGGCTACGTTCACACTGCAGGTCTTAATGCTCAATTCCGATTTTTTGATCAAATCCGATTTTTTTGTCTGCTTGTTCACACTACAAATAAAATGCGACAGCAAACGCGCTCTAGTGTGAACGCTCAAAGCGGCCCGCATGCGCAAAAGAAGACGTCACACACAACGCGCTCTGTTTAGACCCAGAGCAAACAATATTGTTTGACTGATGGCCCTTAATATAAAGACTTCGGACTTTACGTTTCCCAATTTTTGCTTTAAGTTATTTTGTTATTTACATAATAATGTAGATAACCTAATAATGATCCTTATTGCTGTTTTAGAGGAGCGGTGCTTCAAAGGATAGTTGCAGATTTCTGTCAGAATCTGCAGATTATACAGTACAAATAAAATGTTCACGTTTCTCCAACGTTGTCTTCCCAACAGTTTCACTGACATCTACACTGGATGGACAGGAAGCGTTCGCGATGTCTTCTCCGGCGCTGATAATTGGCGTCTGTCTTGTGTCAGTGACGTAAAAGACGGATTTAATGCGACATGACCATCAAACAGCAGTCGCTTTCTAAAACATCGGATATGTATCGGATTCAGTACCACATACGAAAGTGACCCAGATCGGATTTGAAAATATTGGATTTGTGCCGTTCACACTGTCACACCATGATCGGATAGATGGGTCGCAGAGGGTCAAAAAAATCAGATTTGATGCGCTTTTGCCTGCAGTGTGAACGTAGCCAAAGACTGCTGTGCCAACTGTCTGGCATGGTGGTGGTAGCATTAAGCTCTGGGGCTGTTTTCAACTTTACTTCAAATTAACAGCCAGACGGTTGACACAGTTGGATGTTCCAAGAGGAAAATGATCCCATTTACACATAAAAAGGTGTTTTAGAGCGGACAGAACAGGCTAATATTAAGCCTCTGCTATGGCCTGCCCAAAGCCTCAGCCTCAACCCTAAAGAAAAAAAAAATTTGTGGACTATGCTTAAAAGTCAAGCCTGTGCCAGGACACCAACCAATTTCAATGAACTCTATCAATTCTGCCAAGAAGCTTGCTGATGGCTACAAAAAGTATCTGTTTGAGGAGCAATTTGCTAAGGGACACTTAACCAAATATTAGTGAGCGTGTGTGCATATATTTAAGCCTGTATGTATGATTCTGAAAAAATCCTAAATAAATTCCAATTCCATTTTAGTCATTGAAGATATATTTTGTACAATCATTCCACCCAAGCAAAGCAACAGTTCATAGAAACAACAGTTCATTAAAGGCCCATTATTGCAGTTCTCTGTAGCACTTTTCTATTGTACATAGGCATTTAAAGCCCTTTATACAACTTTACCCATTCACACAAGCACCTTTTCTATGCTTTTTCTACATAACTCCAACACAGGTGATGAGAGCAGAGAAACTGAAACAAAATAAGAAGCTCAAAAGGGGAAGAGGGGAGTCATTTGATATATATCGGTAATATAAAAACGAAACCTCATAGTAAAGTAAATAAAGGATCTTGTCCTTAGATGAGCTACTTGTTGCTGCGTCGTGGAGCAGCAGGAGCAGACCACAAAGAACAGTAGAGAGAATTACAGTGTAATATGGATCACATTAGCAGTAAGCAAAAGTAGGGAGCATCTGCCCAAACTGCTCTGAGGTGCTTTCGCAGGCGATAAGCCACCCAGTAACGGCAGCCCGGGGTCATTAGGGTCTTCTTTGCAGACAGTTTGCCACGGCACAGAGAGAATAAACAATTCCCATTTTCATTTCTTATTCATGGCTTTAATCACGGATGACAAAACATATAGTAAATGAAGAAAGGAAGGAAAGAAGTTGGCATCGCCCGTGTGTCTTTGGGACAGTCTGCTGGGTAATGAGAGGGAATTAAAACTGTGGCGAATTTGTAAATGTGTGTACGGAGTGGGTGGGGGGTGAACTGACATTAACAGGCTGGCATGGAGAAGAGCTGGCAGAGGCCCAGCACATAGTGCTGTCAGTGTGAGGTCCTCTTTGCCCATTCTAATGAGGTATTTTGAGGGTCTGAGCTCAGGCCTGCATTGGGGGCCCCCCTGGGGTCAGATGGTCAGATGCAGTTGGATGGGTGATGGAAGGACCAGGAGGAAGCCTGTGGCAGCGGGAAGGGATGGCTGAAGTGCGTCACTCCACATACCAGGATGGCAGATGGTTAAACAACCTCAATGAACAGAGGGGATGACATGAAACTTCTTCAAGGTCGCGCACAGGAAACCACAGCACATTTCCTGTGAACCCAGTTGGCCCGTGATGTCAGCCTTTTGTGTTCAGGAATATCTTATAATGGAAATCACGGATATCCAGGTGGCACTGTATGAGGCGCTTGACAATACTGGGCTTATGCACCGGATCTTGTGGAAACACTCCTTGCATTACTCACAGTAGAGCTTTTAGAAAAAGATTTTGGGATATTGGTGGTTTTCTCATCTTTGAAGAATTCCAAATGGAAACAGAGCTTTGAGCTAATTTCAGTTTAATAAAATCGTCTCAAGGCCATTATGTGCTTTGCCCCGAACAGCTCATTTCTCCTGACATGTTTAAATATTATGTGGCACCCTTTTTGAGCATTGAGGCGGACATCTGTTTTCATTTTAGCCTCTACCACAGAGATGAGAATCCACTGTATGCCTCAGAGTCTGTAGATATTAACTGCAATCAGATATTACGGCAGCTGACTTTATGACTTCAGCACCTTTAACAGGGGATGACAAACTAATCACTGAAATCAAATGATGCGGTGTTTTTCTTGGAATATTTCTCCAGCAGACACGGCTGTCCTCTTGACTGACAGTCTCACTAACAATTAAATCAAGTCATCCCAAAGTCTTCTCGTGTGTGTGGCATAGTGTGTGTGTGTAAAATTTTATTGGTCTCCCTTAAGAATAACAACCCGCAGCCCTGAAATGAGGATCGTGAAGGCACAGAGGTTTATATTCATGCAAGCTCTTCATTTTAAAATGTGCAAAAGAGGCGTGGATAAGCACTTGTACATTACAGTCCATCATAGTGCTTTAAGTTTTAAGGTTAAATTAAAGTACTGCTATAAAGTCAATATCTGAAATACATGATCTGCAAAACAAAGCAGAATACTGACCTTGTTATGATTGAAAACGCTTAAAATCAATTATGAATTAATTTATCCTCAACTGCAATTCATTACAATTAATAAACTATTAAATTATTCGATTTTACCATAACCATTTGAACCATTTTATCAGTTTTATTATTACATTAGAGTCCAATAATAACTATCGAATATACAATGTAACAAGTTGCTTTATACGGATACAAAATTGCAACCATTTATATACGACTCCATTATAGACTGTATCCAACATTAATATATTGTCACGATGTGATGTGGTAGGTTTGTGGATTACTGTTGTAAAACCTTGAGTATTGAAACGAGAGAGTAAATCTGAGCATTATCACTTCATACTAGTAATGGATGCCTAGACTGCATCTATAATTCACCGTAATATAAAATGGGATTACAGAGATACAGTAAGGAGCTCAGACATCCAGAGGGAGCTCGGAGCTCTGATCACACCCTACAGCAGATCCAGAAATCTCTGGAGAGATTGTATATCTTGTCTAGACTGGGAGAGCCTTGGGATGCTAGAGAACTGGAATACGCTGCTGAGGAGAGGAACATCTGGAATACCCTTCTGAGGCTGCTACTGTAACCTGACTTACATTCCTGTGAAAAACAAAGTACACTTCCTAATTCAACAGCACATAGAACCATGTTATCATTCTCTGAATGTCCCTTTTCTCTTCTTTAAGTTATTGTTTCAGTTCACTGAGATTTGCAGGCATTCGTGTATCCACAGCTCTGTTAAGGTGTTTTTATATGACTTTTTTTTTAGCCATTTCAGTCATGGGATCATTGTCCTGTTGCATGACTCAGTTTTAGCCAAGCTTTAGCTGTTAGATGAGCATCGCATTGCCTGACCCTGAGGTCAACCAAAACTTTTAATTTCTAATTTTTAAGTTCTATTTTCTATTATCACAATGCGAAACTGATTAGATTATCTAATTTTACTTACATTTTGAAACCAGAGTTGTCTGTTATTAAGTATAATTAAAAACATCAACCATCTGACCTGTAAGCAGCAATCTCCATGTCTCTGGCCATCTTCTGAGTGAGCAGAAACTTATAGTCTTCACACTGCTCCTTCATCTGTTCTTGGAAATTGGCCTTCTGACACTTCATTTCATCTATAGTCGCCTAATGTCACACACACACCCACACAGAGCAGCAGAGGATGAAGTTGAATGACAGAATATAGGTTTCAACTGCATTAATCATTCCCCTGTTATACCTCTAGATCAGCAATCTCATCCATGTATGCAGCCTTCTTCATTTCAACCTCGTCCTCCAATTCCTCGTTATGCTTCTCGAGCTCAGCAAGCTCCTTTTGTAGCTCTGAAATCTTCAGGAATAAAGAGAAGGAGTTATTCATTGAACATATATCTGCAAAATTGCTTGTATATTGAATTCTTTTGTTACCGATAATGTAATAATCCCATGCCACAACATTTTAGAGCCCTCGTGTTCATGTTCAGTTCAAGAACAGCAGCTGAGGAGCACTTCAGTAAGACAACAAAGAGCTTCAACCTTTGGTCAATGGCAACCTTCTTATCAGCCTTAAACTGCATTTCACATTAAATGAAGACTGCTTTGAGGCAGAGTTACAAACTGAGAAAAACGTGGAGACATGGAAATGTGAAGAAATAGACATGTGGGGCATTTAAGCATTTTTAGAGATACAAATGGAAGGGGATTGTTTCGGCTGTGGTCTCACTTCTGAACTTCAGAAAAATTATCAACAAATGAGGCCAAGAACAAGAGCAGATGTTAGTCGTCAGTTTGTAGTTGTCAGATGGCCAGAAATAGGACTCAGATGAATGCTAATGTTTATCCATTGCTGCTAGATATTTAAAAATAAATCGATAGTTATAAACATGGCAGCCAACACCATAACAAGTTGAATGTTATGCATCAGTTGGATGATATGAGAGCGACCCGCCAGGCCAAGGAGCCACTGGCAAGTAAGGCATTCTCCAAATCATAGCATCTGACCTGGCTTGTTGTTTCATTATAGATAAATGTTTTTATTTTATTCGGGGTTGGGAGGGTCCTTGCTGATGACATTAGGAAACATGAAAACATCAAAACCACTGACAGTTGATGTGAATACTACAATTTTTTCTCTCAACAATGCGATCTTCTCCTGGAAAATGTCCTGTGGATGTTATTTTGAAACCTCGCATCCACCTAAAAATTGCCGCCAACCTTTACACACACAACCCATGTCTCCCATATCACCCCCTGATGGCAGCAACCTCCCTTAGTGGGACATAACGGTCTATTGAACCCCCAAAAATGACAGAGAGCCAGGGACCTTTCCATGGCCTCCAAACTCCCCAGATCAAAATCTGGACCTGTGTTTATGCCCTGACCAATCAGAGCTGCTTTGGTGCTATGAGTCGAACCTACACAATATTATATGTAGTGGCCGATCAGTGTATATTAGATTGCCATGACATATTGAACAGACATTCATTGATTCCAGATGGCGACTTCTGCAGAATTTGGTGATCCCCTGACAATTCTTCTAGCACCACTACAAAGTTGACGTTTTTAAGAGGAAATATCTGAGGATTTATTGGATAGACTGCCATGAAATTTGGTTCACACAATTATGACCCCCCTCAGGAGGAATTATAATTACTTCCTTAGCCTCCTGACTTGACATTAACTGGGCAAAATTTTGTATTTTAGTTAACAACTACATACCTCTGATTTAAAGCTACTCCCATCAGTCCCAGTGGCACTTTTTCATCATTACTAACTGGAAACATGGATTTAAACTGAGCTCTAACTACAACTGAAGTATGCAAATTAACCCAGCAAACACAGACAGAACAGGTTACTTTACTTTCACCACAAACTAACTGAGGAGCATCCCTTCCCCTGCCGTGAGTAATTACAGCAATCACTGAAGTTCAACAATTAGCTGTCACAGCCAGATGGGGATCCAGGCAGTCCTGCTCGTCTTTCAGCCAGATCATGTGACCAGAAGACGACCCGATTACTACTCACAGGCTGATGGAGACTTCCCAAACTGTGTGACTCACTTACTCTCCTTGGCATGATAAGTGGAGCCTGGCCTTGTATGTATACGCGAGCGGTGGCGGATAAACCCATCAGAGCCTGTTCTATTATATACATTTGTGTGTCAGGCCTGATTTCACTGCAATCGGTTTGTTTGGCCATGTTGTCTCTCAGTGAGAAACCAGACCCGAGGCATCCATCACAGACGAAGAGGAAACAGAGCAGATCAGGCCGTGCTGTCCATCCGTCAGCCTGGACAGAGCAAAAGTGAGGCTGAATATTAAAGAAAAGTAGATGATGTTGGGAGGCTTGTGCTGAGGTTACAGAGGCTTGATGTTTATTTAAAGAGCTGAAAGGTAGAGCCACACTAATGAGAACCAAACCACCATGTTTGCTACAGATGTGGTTGGGTGCCAGCTGTGGTCAGACCACTGACGGATGCTAATAAGACCAGGGTGGACTATAAGAGGTGTTTTTACCTGAGTCACCATTTCCTGGTTTGTCTTTTCATTCACGTCTCACTTTGTTGTCCGTTTCCTTCAAAGTCTCTTTGCTCCCTTGGCACCTTTTAATTTTTTTTTTTGCTAGCAGGATGACAAATTAAGGTTCATTTCCTTTCCGCTCAGTGTGTGTGTGAGAAGTATAAAGACGCCTATGACACTGCAGGCGCTCTGTAAGACTGTACTTAATATAACTGAGGACACAGAGAGCAATAAATCCTGTGTGAGCTGCAGTCGAGCTCTTCACATCTCCTGCTGAAAACGTCCGCAGAGTAAACACTCTGGTCAGCAGGATCTCCCACACTGTTGCTCTGCTGTCACTCAGCCGCTCTCAACTCCCTTTGCCTGCTGTGGGAAACCATTCATTTTCACCATTACATCTGATTTAGGAGCTGATGACCGACACAGAGCCAGCTGATAGATGTTAAAACCCTTTCCTTTTTCAGTAAAGAGGTTGAAAATGTATTATGGGAAGATCACTATCAGCAGGCAGTAACTAAAGGACTTAAATGATGTGTAAAGCTCTGATCACCTCAAAAGCAATATTCTCTCATTCGGCTGTTGCAATCAGCAGCCCTGCGGAGCGTTTTGATTTTATATTTCTCACAGGTGTGGAGGCAGAAGTCAAGTGAGTGTTGATTGTGGAGCTCAAAGCATTAAAAAAAACAAAAAAATAATAATTTTCATGCCAAGAGTTACATGAGAAGATTTTATCACTCTCATAGAGTCACGAAGAAAGAGAAAAGTTTTTGCAGGACGCTTTCACAGTACTGTTCAGTACATCTTTAGTGCTTCCATATCAGGAGGGTAAGTAGTAGCCAGGTGCGGCTAATCATATATTATTTAATTTACTGACCGTCACCAAATGTGACCGACCGCCTCTATAAAGCAAAAGTTGTGCAGTTTCCTGGTCTGGAGACAAACGTTGTGTTAACACAACCCTGGAATGTTCCCAGCAAATTCACCTTAAAGTCAGACTGTGAAATGCTCAAAGAAACTTCAAAAAGAAAGCCTGTTCACTCTGAAACAACATGGCAGCACGGTTTAGATTTGCAAAGATTCGTCTAAGCAAACCACAGATCTACTGAAAAAACGGACAGACAAAACCGAAGTGGAAATCTCCGAGGATAACCCACAGTTCCATATTTCACCTAAAACCAAACACGGCCTATCAGATGTCACTCTGAGAGGTGATCATTGGGGTTTTTTCTTCATCCACGTTGTGAGGACAACGTTCCTACAGCTCAAGCTTGGCTGAAACTATGTCACGCAGCAGGACAATGATCCCAATCACACCAGCAAATCTACAACAGAGCTACACAGTTAAACTTCAACCCAATTAAAATGCTGTGGTGGGACCTAAAAAAAGCTGTACATAAACTAATTCATGCACATCTCAATAAACCAAAGCAACCCTGAGGAGTTCCTCCACGGCAATGACGATGACACTGATATAGTCACTTAAAAAACAGTTACTTTTAGTCCACGTCGCTAAAGGTGGTTTGCAAATGTTGAACTTGGTACTTACTGTTTCACATGTTTTTGATATGAAAGCAGATCAGAGGTATATGTATAAAAAGGATAAAATTGACCCCGTTTGCCATTGGCGTGTGTTGTGTCTGGTATGATTTCAGCCGGGAAAATATTAAACATGTCATATCTGCTCTCCTCACACTTGTTTACTTATGAAAAGAAGCAGGGGGGTGATTCTTGTTACACTTACTTGTAGAACTTACTGTATGATGCTGGATGGTTTCCCTAACATGAGTTGTTTCAGGCCATGTCTTAGTGGCAAACAAAAAGCATATGTTGAAGAACAATTCACTGCGTTATTTAATATATAACTCATTCATAAAGAATGTTAATCATAGTCTGGTTTCCAAATATATGTGGCCAAAACAAAGATATGAAACATAACAATCACATAATGTTATGCTCTATTACACTATAAACTGCAAATGATCTTTTGGCTTTAGTTGTGACTGTTTGTTCCAGATATAAGTTGCTGTAGGCGTACATAAAATGGGTAAATCTTTTTTTTTTTTTTTCCCTTTTTTGGATCAACTAGCTTCCTTTTCGTGCAAGAAGTTCGGAAGAAGTTAAAAGCTTGGCAAATGCAACCAAAACGCCCTGCCCTGATGTAAAGCTCAAGTTTGCTCCAAACAAACTATGCTAAGCGTATGTGCTTTGTGTAATTTGGCTCAACTAACTCTTTAAAGAAAGGGCAGGGGGAGAACACTCACCAGCATCTTTATCTCACCGGCGTCCTTTATCTTTGTCAAGTCTTTGACCGTTGACCCTCCAGTTCCTCCCACTTCCACTTCCTTTCCGTCACCACTGTGGACCACAGCAGAGGAGGCTGCACCGCACTCATACTGAAGAGACACAAGATGAGAAGTCAGTGCTGCTGGGATCTTTTTGAGTAAATTAGTGCACTTTGGCAGGGGGAGCAATCAGAGTCTCTCATACTAGCTCTCCTTGCGTACACCAGTTTCATGATTAGCCAAATCATGAGGGCGCACAGGTGTGTAGGAGTCCGCCAGCAATCACCATTACTGCTCACAACCAATAGCAATCATTTTAGCATCGAGACAATCGCGTCTCGTAATCGAGGCCAGGCACAGACAGGACGGTGTCCAGCTGGCGAGGCAAGAGCCTGAGTGGGAGGGAGAGAGTAAATAGATGGCGTTTTAAAGAACAAGAAACACACGTAGACAGGCAGATATCCCTTAGTCATGTCTCCATATTAAATGCACACACACACACCAGTGTCCACTTCAGTGCAGCTAAGGAGCCTGGGAAGGCGGCCTGCAGTCTGATTGCAGCCCTGACCTCTGAACCAGGCAGACATCCTCACCTCAGAGAGGGTCAGACCCACCAGAGCTACAGTCTGACCCCAGTGCAGGACCTCGGTGCTGCAACACACACACACACACACACACACACACACACACACACACAGACATTCTGTTCGGGTCCAGAGCAGCACCTCTGATTTCCAAGTTCTTCCCCAATGTTGTGTTAAGAGGTAAAGAAAACAAGTGAGAGCCTCGTTGTGTGATTTGTGAAAGCTGAGAGGGACAGAGGGAGGGTGGTGCGGTGAGAATATTGGAGTTAATCGTAAAGAGGATGAGGAACTGGTCACTGGAGAGAGTGTCAAAAGTGAAAGTACTCAGATCTCTTATTTAAATAGAAGCAGTTCAAGAATAATGAAATAACCCACAGGAAGTGAACGACCTGCACCAATATATAAACCGCAGAAGGTACTTAGAAGTATTAAAAAACAACCCAGTAACACAACCTTATTGTTCACATTACTCCGTTCCATGGCATGGTCCGGCCAATACACACAGTGAGATTGTAACACATTACTTTATCCTGTCACGAAATCACTCAGCACAGGTTGGCTGGCGAGCTGGAGAGCATATCATCAAGTGAAATTAAAACCACACAAGATCGATTTCTGTTGGAAGCGTTTGTGCCCCGTTTAGGATGCATGGCCAAAAAATAAAAAAATAATGACAACTGTTTAGTTTTCTGAGATCATGAGATCATAAAACGCTCAAGCAGCTGTGATGTGTGTTTCCATGTGTGCTCACCGGTGGCTCTGCAAACCTTTTGTGGCATATCCCAGATATGAAGAAAAAAGGGCTTGTTCCCATTCCCTCGACAAGTTTTAAAGGAACAAGGTTTAACTTTTGTGAAACTCGGTCAACACGATAGCATTAACAAACTCATTTATTATGTTTTTAGTTCATTCAACAAATCTTGCTTTTGTAGTACAGCCTCAAAATGTAGTGACTGTATGACCCACAGTTTGAGAGCCACTGAAAGATCGCAACCGATGTCTGTCTGAATCCAGCCTGTGAAGCCATGAATGCTTATTTATCATATTTTCACATGCTTTTTTTTCTCATCTAATGAGACCCACTTTGTTATATTTCTCACAATGATTTTTTTAACAGCTGGAGAATTAGCAGCTGTTAACAGTGGTGTGCATACGTTATTTTCTTGTTTGTTTGTTAATATATGGCTCAGTAATGTATTGAACACATGTTTTTCCCTGTAAACCACCATTATGTTCATTTCTGACTCCGTGTTTTCATTTTGGGGCTCTACTCATGATTCACAGTTAATAACTGGGCCTTAGCGCAGGCCCTCGGATCGTCCGGTGTATGGTATTGGTGTGGTTCTCTGTGGGTTTTGTGTGTTATGTACTCTGTGTTGTACCTGGAGTGTCTCAGCCAGTTGGCAGTAGTACTTTTTTACATCCAAAGCCGGAGCAATGTCAGGGCGGCCAAATTTAATCACTGCTGCCCGGGTGATCCCTTCGTTGGGCTCCAGCATATCCTCCACTGTCTGCTCATACACGAAACACATACAAATACACAAGAATGTAACAACACACATTTATTTATTACACTGTTCTTAATGTCAGTTTTAATAGACTTGCACTTTACTTTACTTCTTTATAATTCAGCTCCTAATAATACATCCACAATCATCATCTATGACTTTTCTCTTTCTTTTTCTGGCAGCTATATTTTTCCCACATCCTTCTCCCAGCATCCCCAGTATCTCTTCTTCATACGTGTCCAAATCAACTCTGTCTCAACTTTTGTCCTTTGACTGAGAGGTGGTCTGAGCTTTTAGGATATCTAAGATGAAACATGAACAAGCACAGGTTTTATATCGATCATGCAAAGGACAAAGAAGCAGCCTCATCTAACTTCACAATGATTTTGAGGTATGACAGGTCATTTTGGGAGGTACAGTTGTATGAAATTTAGACTACTGCAACATTACACTTAGATCTATTTGTTCTTAGTGAACGCAATATTAATGAACATTGTGTACAAATACATATTTTCTAAAACATTTTTTAAGCAAGGAAAATTTCAACTAATTCAAACTTCTGGAAAAAACGAACCAAAACAACAGTGGTGGCAACAAGCTTCCATAAACCCTTTGATATTAAGAATCTTATTTGCAGGAGTGCCCTGGTAATAAGTAATAACTTGACATGTTGTTTCAGTGGCAGGAGAAATCATATTTCAAAGAAAATCCACACAAGGGTGCAGAGAACATGTGAACTGAGCTTCCCGAGGTTTGAACAGGGGCGCTACAAAGAGGGGGCCAGAGGGGGCACTGGCCACCCCCCAAAATTTACTGACCCCACCTGGCAAGACTGTCCTGTGTTGGTAATAATTGTAATAAATGTGAACACGAGAGAGGACGAATCATTAAAGTATGGTTGGGACTTAAAGTCAAGCAGTTAAAAGTCAAGTTAAAAAAGATGATCATGGATTTCAAACTCTTACTTGGTTCTCATATTTACTTTCAGTGATATCAACTTTAATAACAGGAAATCAACTAGACATGTAATTCTTTTCTTCCTCTCTTCTTTGCCATATTTTTTCAAGTAACCTGTTTGAAAACAGCGTAATAAAACTGGAAATTCTGGTTTTGCTGTGCCACCCCAGTGTTTTCAGTGACCCCCATATGACCACCAACATGGGAAAATTCCGGAGGAGTCCTGGGTTTGAACCCAAGTGTAATATTTTATCCCAGCTGTAAGATCACATAGTCACAGCACAATGTACTGCAGTGTATTTTTCTGCGTTGGATTAATTTTCTGCTAGAAAATAAACATTTTTCACTAAATCCTGTTTTAAAACAGGTGTGCTGCTATAAATGTGTTTGTTATAATTTTGCAGGTCACCAGTTTACATATTTTATGTGTTTAAACCAGGGGTGTGCATGCAGTTATTTTTCCCAACGGAGCCACGTGAGAAAGTAGGATTATTATGGAAGTGAACGCAAATAAGCTGAACTTATATCAGTTTCATCTCTCTATAAACTTATTGATGGCGCTCTTCTCAACAGCCCCAGCTGTAGAGAGCTACTATCTCTGTCTAAAAGTAAGTCCCTGTCATTGTCCATTTACCTGTATGACTGATTTAATGTGGTTTGATTCTATAAGACCCTGCAAAACCAAAGTGTTCTTGCAAGAAGTGCACACTAGGGCAGACACCTAATTTTATATAGAAACATGTTAAAAGTCTAAAATGATTAGAAATACAGGAGTAATGTGATTACTTGTATAGATGGATGGTCAATATGACCTTATGTTTGCTACAATTACACCAAACCACCAATGCTCTGACTTCTTGCATTACATTTTAAAATTGTCTTTATTGATGAAAATGTGTCAGCATTATTAATTAGTACACATATGCATGTTTATTATATCCATAGATGCCTAGTGTATTTCAGATATAGCTTACCCCTACAACAGTAAAAGAAAAAACTGAGGAACAAGTGTGTTGTGCAGTAAAAGTATACTCAGGTAAATTTTCTGTCTGCTACAAACACACAGAGACCAAAGGCCTCAACATGCATGTCTGCAGCCTCACATCAGTTACAAAGAAAATGAACTGCTACAGAGCTGCAGTGGCAGACTAACATTTTTCTCCTCTTCCCTGCACCTACATAACGACATGGCTGCCGATTTGTCAGGGGAATGTGGGGTATCTGGAAGTGCCGATAATAACAACAGTTAATAAAACAAAGGGAACTTCTGTTTTCATTTGGTATTCAGCCGCATTTCCCGGACGGGGAGTTATCGAGCGTGTCCCAGAGGGAGTGTGTTAAATGCCGCGCGGTCCGGCTTTGCAGAGGAAAAACACAGAGTGATGGAGCTGCTCCTGCTTCAGCTGCCTCCCTCTCTCTCTCTCTGCCTGCAGCCTCTAGATCTGATACCGGGGTGCGCCTGTCATCTCCTGGTGAGGTGGAGAAAATTGTAGAAGGTGCAGAGGGCTGGGGGTGTGTGTGGATATGTACAGAATATGGCTGCAAGCATGTGCTTTTTTTAAAGGAGTAGTTGAAAAATTTGTTTGAGTGCAGAGAAGCTACTTAATACATTTTATTTTGTGGGGCATGTTCAAGAGTTAGAAGATAAAATGACAATCTGATACTAGCACAAAATCCTTTATAAACCAGTGAATTCTTACACTGATGTTTCAGCAAGTGAGCTTCGGCAGAAAGCAGATTTTGTCAGCTTCAATCTCCTGTTTCCACTTGTTATGCTTAACAACCCCAGAGTTGGTTGTTCTTTCATATTTACCATGCAGATATGAAAATATGGGCATATTTTTTATTATTCTCAGATCTGACCTCGACCTGATTGAAACACTATGGTGAAACCTTTGCAGTTTTATAAAGAAGAGTGGGCCAAAATTCCTCCACAACGATGTGAGACACTGATAAAATCACACAGAAAACAATTACTTTAAGTTGTTGTTGCTAAAGCTCCTGAAGCGCTAAGTGTACTCGGTTCTGCACAGGACTCCAGTAAAAACTCTCTTTTACATGACTGTTTTTGGACAATAACATGCTTTTTTTGTGATTTTATATTTGTGTATTAAATTGGTTGTAATTCGTCAAAAGTTTTTGCAATATTTTGGTTTTAACTGAAAGTCTGCAATTCAATTACATCCTGTTTGTTTGCTGTAAAATGCCCAGAACAGTGGGAAGGTGTTCCTGCATCTTCGATCAATGAGGAATTAAATCTGCAGGTTGGTGCCTATTACTAGACTTTTTACCTCGATAAATAAACTAAATATAAAAGTTACTCTGCCAAACACTGACTGCAGCTTTTACCTTGAGACAGAAATGTTTGATCTGCCTCAAAAATGAATTTATACCATTCAGGAGAGGGATGTTTTTGATACATTACAGGTCAAGAAGTAAACAGCTTAAATACAGACAATCAATTTTTGGCACATTCACATATCAATTAACACATGCCTGTGATCTGTTCATGGTGCAGATGCAAAGTGGCAGTCGGTGCTCTACAGAAAATTTAAATCTTACATGTGACTCATTTTAAAGTTTTTAAATCAGGTATATGATCTATGTGTTCTTGCATTATGTTTTTGGAAAATAGTTTTGCAAAACACTCAATTTATGTTGTTCAAACTTTGCATGAGGATACTGTGGATCTACTAACAGTTTAGTGCATGCTATACCGATTAGTTTGCAGTATTGTGGTGAAGTTTACAGTAACTGATGCCATGTTGGACTCATACAGAGCAGGCTGTGGTGTTCATGGACAATGTGAAGTTACATCAAAGATAGCAAACATCAAGTTATATTTAAAGGCAATTCAGCATTTATATTTAAATGCTGATCGGATTCAGTCACTGAATTATAACTTGTATACTAGGTTTATAATGTCTATGTGTTGGAAAATGAGGAATATAGTTCATGAAATATCTGCTTATATCTTGTTGAATTCAGCTGGGTAAATCGACAAAAAACAGCGAGTACCAGAGTAGCAGCTGATCACTTGATGACTTATTTCAAGTAATTGTTTTCAACAGCCCATCTTTAAGTTCCACCACCACTTAAACAAATCCCACTTTAACCCCTGAGGTAAAATTTAAAAGTGTAACAGTCCAAAAACACCTTCTTTCCCATTAAAAGACTAGTAACGACTGCATTTAGTACAAAGCCCTTAAAAAAAGTAATTTTATGAATCTGGAATTGAATGCTCTGCTCATATTTTTCTGTTGTTGTGGCCGTTTCTGGTTACAACTCTTCAGCAAGGTGACCAAGGTCGCGAGGAGCTGCGTTTGTCAACACAGATCTGGGCATTGCTCCAACACTCCTGTCTGACCTAAGTGCTACATTTTGAGCCATTTCTGTGACTATAAACTGTTCCTGTTTCATCAGCCTGCAGCTACAAACTCCCTTTCTCTCACCGTCCTGTGCAGGGTCTCCATGCTGGCCAGCTGCTCCTCGTAGATAGTCACTTGCTCCCTCAGAGCCAAACACTCTGCTGTCACAGCATCCACTTCCTGTTAAAAGAAAGTAAAGTTAACAGAGAAGTTGAACTTAATTTCTGGAAGTGTCTGAGGAGTGCTCTGCAGTTTGCAAACTAAATCAAACCACAGGTGGAAAAAACATGAAGTTGTTTCCACCCTGAAGACCAATTTTGAGAACAATCAGCACCAGCCACTCTGTCACTGAACAGCAACTACACGCCGCAATGCAGAGGAAAAGGGAGGAGGAGGAGGAAGATGAGAAGGAGGCTAACTAGACACAAAAGCCTTGTCACCCAATCTATTTGCCGGCAGGGGTTCTGAATTCGTCTACTCTTTTTAAAGAACTGGATTAATTGGTGTTGAATGCAATTACTGTTTGTGCCTGCTTTTACATTTAGGTACAGGAAGAAAGAGTTTGGTGGTAAAGTTGTGGATTCCTGCTGTGAGGGTGGCAGGGTCAGTGATGTACTGCAGCAGATTAAACAGACTGGACTGGCTGCTGCTGAACTCTCTGAGCTGGAGAAAAACCTGTTGTAGTTTGTGTAGTTGCTCCATAGTGTTCACACACAGTCACAGACTTCTTTTACTCAAGTTGCCATTTCCAGCTCCATAGTTTAATTCTAGGGTAGCTTTGCATGATTCACTGTTCAAAATAAGCCGTTTCTGTTTATGTAGCAATTTTAGCTCCAACTGACTTTCTCAACCTGAAAATACTGTACAACAGACAATAAGGAAAAGCATGTTGGGTCAAATTTAGCGTCACACAGCTGTTGCAAATTTGTCAGCTTTACTGGATTGGATTGAGATCTGGGAATATGTAGACCATTTAAGTACAATGGATTCATTAACATGTTTAAGAAGCCAGTTATTGATGGGTTGAGCTTTGTGACATGGTTTGTTATCAAATACAAAACTCATGTAGCATTTCAAAGATGCTCACGTTAAAATATTCCCTACACCATCACCAACAGGATGGGTCCACACTTTCATTTGGTTTACAACAAATCAGACCCTACGATCCAAAAGTTGGAGCAGAACTTGAGAGTCATCGGACCAGGGAAAGTTTTCCAACCTTATATAGCCCAATTTTGGTGAGCCTGTGTGAATTGTAGCCTCCATATCCTGTTTTAGCTGACAGGAGTGATACCCAGTGTGCTTTTCTTCTGCTGTTGCCCATCTGCTTCACGATTTGATGTGTTGTGCCTTCAGAGATGCTCTTCTGTATACCTTGCTTTTAACCAGTGGTTATTTGAGTTACTGCTGCATTCCTGCTACCCCAAAGCATCTAGGCCAGTCCCTTCAGATCTCTGATGTCAACAAGGCATTTTCTCCCAGAGAAACGCTGCTCATTGGATATATTTTTTTGTACTACTCTCTGTAAACCCTAAGCATGGTTCCTAATAGATCAGACGAGGCCATCTGACACCAACAACCAGGAAAAATTCAGTAATTTAAATTTGATTCCCGTTTCCCATTTGAACTGCAGAAGAGTTGGAGCTTTAAGTCTTCACCATGAGTGGTGCCTTGTCACATGTATTATTGTTGACATGTTTAATATAAAAATATTCTTAAGTGCTCTCCATTTATCTGTTTATTTTTATCCCAATGAGGATTAAAACCAGCTGAAATTCTGACCAAAAGAAAGTCTTCTAATGTAATTCTGACCTTGTTTTTACCTTTAAATGAATCTAAACTCCATATATGCTAAATTAATTCATCCACTCAGACTCACTCTGTTTTTCTGTAGCCACAGAAAATCAAACTGAGGAGGTGAAATGTGCAATCCTTGATGATGGAGTAGGATAGAAACCACACAAAAGCCAGCGGTATGCTCTAAAACAAACCAAATGTGGCTTTTTGACGTTATGCTGACAAAGATGCAGCTTGTTGTGGGCCGATCTGTGTAGTATTCACTCTTCTCCTCCGCATCTCTGCTCTTCCTCTACCTCCCTGCCGATTTCCCACCAAGTCTTGTCACCCTGCAGCTGCTTCCAATTCAGAACTGCAGGACAGAGCCAGCAGGAACATTACGGCACCATATCACAGCCTGTGTTACATCTGCGAGGCACAAATGAAAGCCTCCCTCGCATCTGGCCTGGTTCTGGAAAGGAAACGATGGGCTCTGGCATGTGCGAGGGAAGAAAAGTTTGGTGGCTCAGGTTGCAGTGGGCCACCAGCCCAGACTGTGTGACTGCTGGTGATCAAAACCCACTGGGCAGCACTACAGAGGAGCAGCTGTGCCAGGTGTCAGCTGGATGGAGTGGGAAGTGAAGATGCTTGACAGCCCTGCCATCTAGTGCTCAAAGTATATTATCGCAACACGGTCAGATCAGAGAGAAAACGCTTCGGTTCATACTCAAGTTTTAAGTAAGTGATTTAATACTAATATATTTAAGTAGACACAGCCACCAAACTTATTTAAAGGGCAGTTTTATACATTATAAACTTTACTGCTTGAGGTTTCACATTTGCAAAATGTAATTTTAGTATACACTGGCCTCTGTTTTATGAGTTTTGATCAACAGTAGTAAATTCAGTTAAGAGTTGAGCTCTAACTAAATAATTTTACTTGAAGTGAAATTGTAGCCTTGACAGACTAGATGACATGACCCTGTGGGGAATCCTGACGTTTGTGTTTGGGCCTATGATCACCATCCATCCTTTTTTTTTGCCTCTTGCGTGGTCGGTGACATGGGGGTAGCAGTCAAAGCAGAGGCCAGCTCTTCTTGGGGGACACAGACGCATCAAGCTACGAAACGTGATCTCTCCGGTGTGTCCTGGGTCTTCCTCAGGGTCTCCTCCTCATCTAGGAGGCCTCTTGGTCTGATGCTCAATCCACAGCTGACTCCCTTCGATCATCAACCATCCATTAATATAACCACTCAAATAAGGACGTTGTTATTTGAGTGGTTATATTAATGGATGGTTGACTCTGATGTGACCCTGAATTTTACTATGCTTGTGCTCTCTTAGCTTTTTGGAACTGAACCTACTGTTATAACCAAATCTTCAAATAAATTTATAGTCCTTAAAAAAGAAAAAAAGCACAGATTATTCTTTATTTGTCGAGCAGAGCCGAGTTCCCTCCTGACCATTTTTCTGAAGCAGCAACGGGATTTTCATGCATACCAACAGAATACTTGCCAAATACCAAATACAATTACCTCAGCCACATCTTGTTGTTCCTGCCGGACGAAGATCCTCTGCTGCGACGCCTTCTCATAGTCTTTCTTCAGGAGCTTGAGCTCTTTCTGCAGCTCCTGTGTGTCATTCAGAATCTCATCCTGTGGTGAGAAACAGCCAGACACTGATGGATCTTGACAAGGTTGTAAATCAGACCTGCCCACAATTATGCAAAGTGTGATCCGGCTGATGTCATGACGTGAGACGTGCTTGCGGACTGATATGAGAAAACCTCATTTAGGCATGCCATCGCACGGAGAGACATGCAGCAGACACACCCAACAGAACCTACCCTCTGCTTGCCCAGTCTTTCCACCACAGCGTCCAGGCTGTGGTCGGGCACCGCCACAGTGGAGGTGATGCTGGAAGAGGCCTGGCGATTGTTCAGCTCTTCCTCCAACTCAGTGATCTGACATTCAAGAGACTCATTGTCGTCCTCAAAACAACGAGCCTAAAGGGCGCAGGTTTAAATAGCGTGAGGTATACACAGAAGAAACCAGCAGAGAGGCAGCAGTTACAGTGTTTGTCCTCACCAGCTCAATCAGCCTGACCAGGCGGTCATTGAGGGCAGCAATGACGGTGCGGTCCTGGACAAACTGGTCCAGACCTTCTTTGTTCTGAGCCCTGGCAGCTGCAAAGTCTAACTTATCACAGTCGCACTCATCAACAGCAGCAGCCCTGAGAAAAGGCACAAAGCACCAAAGACTCGACTCAATATTTTTAAAGGTTTTAGAGAAAGAAACTAAACACATACAGAGAGGCTTCATCAAGTTTATCCCTGCTCATTTTCTTCCATTTCATTTTGTTTTGTAAGGCTGAAATGTTGCTAATTTTGTGATTTTTGGTTCTCTTTTGTTGGCGTTTCTTTCATTTTTCTGTGCTGTATGTAATGTCATATATTGCTCTCACTTCATATATGAGATGTTTATCCAGACTGAATATACTTCACTGTAAACATGACATCATGGAGTTATTGGTTCAGTTTGTCCATTTCTTAGCAGGTTTACTCATAATTCTGGATTTGCATGATACATGGAATTCATGGAAGGATTCTTCACTGTTCTTCACCAACACAGGGTAACAGTCAACTCTTAAAAAAATGATGATGATGATAAGGAACACCAACTTCTATCTATATCACAAACCAATCTCTTGATTCTGGATAAAGGGACTCCGCTCATGCATGGTGCGAAGGGAATTTTCAGTCTTGGCAGAGGTGTGTAGTCTCTGCTCTTGTGCTTGAAATGCTCGACTGCGTTTGACGTCACAGCAAATAAAGATTGCACCCTGTGATGGCGTCTGCGCGCTGAAGACATTTGTCACTACCAGTAGTTGGTACCTCAGTGCTGATTACTTTACCTACCTATTATGCATTGATTGCTGTATGTAGACATGCATTTTAGGTTGTTAAGCACATTTTGACACATCAGTGTTTTGGGAATTTTCAAATTTGTCTCAGACCACAAACATCTGAAGTTATAATTGTTGATGAGATTACAGTTTACAGCTTAATTAATATTACTTAGAGACAGGTTCAAGTCATACCCAGATATCAGATTTTGTCCTGAATTCTGGAAAAAGCACTCGACTGATAGTGACATTATTACATCTGACCAATCTGTCAGATAACCTAATCTCTGCTGATTTGCTGACAAGCTTACAGTCAGTCATGGGGAGGCCAATTTCAACGTACATGTCATACATCGTTTTTGTATTTAACGTCATTCTTAAGGACTATAACAAATAATTGTCCAACTTTGGGATGAATAAAGATGTTATTATAACCACTAAGGTTCTTCAGCATCCACCAGGAAACCTTTGACATGTAAAGCAGTACACTATGTTTTAATCATAAGGGGGAAATATCAGATGTTACCCTTTTAAATGAACCCTCATTCATGTCTTTCATCTATAACATTTTTCAGGTTAAAATGCCATACTCCTCACAGACAAACTGGTGGACATGTTTGTACACCTTAATATCTTAAAAGTGGTAAGCAAAACCCACACTGACCTGACAGAGGCCCGGTATTGCCCCGCACACCGCACGCTCAACCCTCCGTTTCGTCTCCAGCTGTCGTCCTCAAACAGCTTGCGGTAAGAAGACACTCTGAGCATGGCCATGGCTTTGAATGGCTTCAGACTGAGATAAGACACAACAACCAAATGGAAGCAGCAGATCGAAGGAGGATTTTATACTTGGAGGGAAACAGAATGTTGCACTGAGGTGAAGCAGACTAACTTTGGCGTGAACATCACCCAGTGACGATTTCACATGCACCCTAAGAGTAAGGCCCAAAAACCTGCCGCGCAGTCACCGTTTGTCTACATAAGATTTCCAAGAGGACGAGATTGAGGTGGGGCACAAAACAGCTTTATACACAGTTTTATTTCATTTAAATAAATTAAAAATAAAAAAAAATATCTGAGAAGTTGAAAACAAATGTATCCTTGTGTACCTTTGAACGTACCTCAGTTTTGTGACAAAACTGAAAAGAGGAACAACAATGAATCCACACACTGTTAACATCAGTTGGTAGAGTGGAATAAGACAACACATAAAAATCAGAGGGTGGTGATTACACTGATTCTTCTGTTTGACATCATGAAGCTTGTATTTCTACAGACAAAAATGAAAGGTTGTTGTAAAACAGTTCTCCCAAATCTATATATAAAAAGAAAATCCCCAAAATAATTGTTCCATAGACTCATGCCACCGTTTGGCAAATCTCAGTTTGAAAAAGGCCAACAGAGGATTTTGAAGTAAGGATGGTAATAAGGCAGAATGAGCTACTTCGGACCAACAGTTATTTATACAAGAGTCACGATTGTCAGCATTTTCACATTGCATCATGTGTATATGTCGTCTGCAAAGGTCCCGGGGCATGTGTGAAAAAACTCTGGTTTTTCTGGCATCGTGGGTAAATTATTACGTCATTAATGTGAAAAGCTTATGGGTTAAACCGTTTCAGAGGAAATGGGCCTTAGAAGTTCCTTATTACAGAGAATCAGCTGCAGAACAGAATGGTCCTCTGTGGCACAAAGACAGGCAGCTTCCTGCAGAGTAATGAGCCATTAAAATCTGCTAATTTCACACCCAGAAAATGCTGCATGAGTTCAAATGAGAACATTAGTCTTTTGGATTTACCCTAAGGGGACAGAACTGCCTAAAAACAATGAATAAAGAGCTTTAAGATGTGGCAAAAGTGAGGGAGAAGACATGTAAACACACGTAGACGCACACCAACAGTACCACCTTCAGGACAAACTAAACACCATCACAGATTCATACCAGCAGACAGTCAAACAACCAGGTAACAGGTAAACAGTCACTATTTACACCACCAGAAAAGAGTGAGATCTCCACCCGATTCCGATTGACTAGGAAGTTAGTGTGTTAACAGACTTGTTTCGCAAGTCAAGAGGAAATGAGGAAACTGGAGGTAAGGCTGACGGCTGCAAACACAGCAAACACTTACAACCAAGAGTTTTCTACAACAGGGTGATAAAAACACGCAAGAAGACACCCAATTAAACATTTTAAAACTGAAAGTAAACTGCAGTAGAAAGTGTTCACATGGTGCAAACTTGGAGGAAAACAAAAACATAAATAAACAGTTACAATACCATGGATAAGCTCAAAGGTATCTTAATATTGTCCCCTCAGCTAAACGCTGCAAAATAAATGATTGTCATGATTTATCTTAAGCATAAACATTCTTAGTGACAGATTTGCATGATCATCCCATTTCAAACTATTTTAACAATATATCTAAACATCTTCAGTCCATTTATTCAAACCTAAAGAAGTCTCTTCATTTCTTTAGTGTAAGTGAGTCTCCTATTTAGCATCTATGGATATATATATATATATATATATATATTATATATATATATATATATATATATTATAATATATATATATATAAATATATATATTACTATATATAATATTAATTAATATATATATATATATATATATATATATATATATATATATATATATATATTAAATATATATATATATATATATATATATATATAGTGTGTTTTCACATTTATAACACTCACGGCTTAGGGGTTATTTTGGCAAGAGCACCTACATGAAGAAGTGTCAACTCTAGTCAGGAGGCACAGGTCCTTTAGGTCATCACAAAGTGCATCAGTTCAAACCTCTCCCAAATGCTTCCAAATCCTGCAACTTGTCCTATTGTGCATGGATTGAAGATATGACAGTTCTAATAAGAGTCTTCAGTACCTTACATATTAACACGACAGTTTGCAAAAGGTAGGGTGCAGAAGAACTGCACTGGTCTCCAGTAGATGTCAAAATACCAGGTCCTTTACAACCGAAGAGCCAGGCTGGGAATCAGCTCCAGGCCAAACTGACACCATAATTAACCCTCAATGTTACTCCTCATCTCCGGCCATTAGGAAACCCAGAACAAAATCGATGGCTTTCTGGCGCTCGTGTGACGTCTGCCTGCCCACAAAATTGGGAGGTGGTCGAATGAGGAGGCTGGCAAAGAGGGTAGCTAAGGTAAAAGAACAGGGGAAAAAAATGTCAGTGATTGAGATTGACCGCAAATAACAGGTCAACATTTAACATACAAAATGCAAATTTATTAGTTACTCACATTATGCCTTTTAGGTCACAAATGTTTAATCTAATGTATGGTTACTATTGTATAAACTCAATCCAATACTGGCATTTTATTATATGAAGGCCTGGAAGCTCCGTCTCTGATTTGGTTACAGCGTAACTGTATTGTGGTGCACAATGTAATAGTTTATATATTTAACAATTTTAAAATTCACTGATTTGTGCTCTTAATTTGAAAAGATTCAATTTACTTAAATTAAAATTGTCCTACTGCTAATTAAAAACTAAGTGGTTGTGATGGAAGAATCTGCTTAAATAAACTCTGTATTATGATATATGGAGATGACCTTACCAAGGAGACTGGCTGTTAGATTGTTGTTCTGTGAGTGTTTGAGAAGTTCTTTCAGAAAGGCCATCAAGTAGCGAAACACATTGCGGTGAGCCCGGGGCAACTGGGAGATCAACTGTCAAAAATCAAGGTCAGCACAGAGATTAACCACATCATAAAACGAACTGCGCTCATCTGTACATGAACACGATGCCTCACTCTTTATAAATCAGACTGTACCTGTTTGCAGAGGCGGGTGTCGTTAGAGCAGTCTAGGCACCGTTGGTAGAGTTCATAGCACACCACTGGCTCTGGCAAAGCCTCCAAGAAGATCAGCAGTGCCTCAGCCACAGAGTGGTTACAACCAGCTACACCAACAGTTAAGAAAATTCTTGTAGTTCCATATTTTCACATCGTCTCTGAGCTCTGCTCCTGCCTGAACGTCTTACTATCAGCTGTAAACCAGCTGACATGGATTTTAACACTTATTGCCATCAACGGATCACAAAAAAAACCCCTGTTATGTAATCTGCACTGCTTTTAGAACTGGCTTTATAGGATACGGATGGAGTCAGGGATGCTGGTGTCCAGACAGTCGATGATGCTCTGCAGCTCCTCCTGTAGGCCTGGTGTCTGAAATAAGTCCTCCTGAAAGACAACCAGGAACAAATGAAACAGACTGAAGGTTTCTGGCACTCCACCCACTTCCAAGGTGCATGGAGCTGAGAATAAAGTTTGAAGAAGCCAAAACACGTTGGTTAGGCCCTTTGTGTCTAACTCCTATAACTAAAAGCCCTATTTATTGACTTCTTTTCCAGTCTTTTCCCTTCAGAGAAAAACAGACAACCTATATATGTTTGCCATTACTCAAAAGACCATCTATTGCACTCGTTAATTATTCTACAGGCCAAAATAAAGAACTCAGAAACTCGAGTTATCTGAAAATGCACAAAACTAAGCAGGAGCAAGTTTTTCCTCAAACGGATGATATTTTAAGATAATGGTTTCACGGGTCACTGTTTTACAAAACACTGCACAAACGTATGAAACATTATCAGTAATTTCAGGTTATTTTAAGATAACAGTACCATTAGGTTTTTGCTCATCATTTGTATTTGTTGATGTTCCCTCTCTAAAATGCTGTTTTTCAGTGTGTCAGTGGCCTTTTCAAGCACACAGACATTCTCCAAAAGAGACCTATCATGCTAAGCTACTCTAGCAGAGTGCAACAATAATACTAGTAATAATAATCATAATAGTAATAACAACAATAATAACAACAACATCATCCACCTATAAATAAACACAGTATGTCCCCTTTAATAATATTATTTATCAAGTATGTCAATGAGGGGTTTTTAGCACAGTAATGTTAGCTTCAGTTGGCAATAAAGAAATGCATCAGACAGTAAGCACTGCAAGAATTTATGTAAATCTAAACTCTTTCCTAGAGGTGAAAAAATGTTGGCATATCCAGAAACGAGCTGAAGCTCTCTCACCTGATCGCAGGACTTTGTGTAGAGGTGGTTGACCAGAATCCACACCTCCTTGGGGATCTTCAGAGGTTTGTCCTCAGTACCGGCTCCATCCACCATCAGGAAGTTCATCTTGGACTTTTCCTGTTTGGACAAAAATCAAAATGTCTTATTCTGACAAACAGTAGCGGAGTAATATTGTTATACAGTGTTTATACCGATTTGCTCAGGTGTAACACATAATAATGGCTTCACATGAAAAATCACATCCATTAGTGTAGCAGTGAGGTCAGTATCATCTCTGGAGACTTGTATGAAAGCCATTTTACTCAGAGCTGGATATCACATCCTTTTTGTCACTGAAAATGGATCCCCGAGACTCACGAGAGACACCTAAAAATAACCCCAGCTACTGAGCCTGCACATGAGGGCAGAGGAAACTGGAGAGCAGCTGGAAAGATGCTAACATACAGAACTAATGTAATATGCTGTAAGAAGTACATTTACATTGTAATTAATCTTACAGCGATCAAGGCCAAAAAGCTTTTACATAAAACGCATTAGATTGCGCCAGTGTCAAGAAAATGGAGCATGCTTATATTCTAAGTGGTTCTCTGTTTCCCATTTTCACTCATCAAGTCATAAAAAGGAAGAGGAGGTCTGCAGTTAGACTTCATATGAATGTCTCAGCTTCAACACTCCCTCTCATTAGCTTCAGTCATGTGCATAAAGGAGCTGTGCAGCAAGGCAAGCCTGCTGTGAAATGAGATTTAGTGTGCCTGACTTTCACCAGGCTGATGTTTCCTCTCTGTTCTCAATGGCCCATGAAAGATTTAATAGGCGACTAACCCCCCCACACACACACACAATCACACTCGGAGTATAACCAAACTAAAGCTTTGTCCGGTCTCTGATTGCCTGTGGATTACCAAATGCTGCCTGTGTCAGCGCTGGGAGATGTGAGACGAGCACCCACTGATTCACTTTCTGATTAGCTTCTAAGGGTGTGTACTGATTAATAATGGTAGCTGAACAAAAATAAAGGATACTTATACTTGACTAATCGTTTAAAATAATCCTTATTTACACTATACTGAGCACTGACGCAGTCCCTCGGCTTCCCCTGACAGAACCAAAAGCTGAGTGCTTCAAACCTGCATTCATTTTAATGACCACCAGGGGGCGACTCATGAGGTTGCAAAACGACTTCTAGTTGTATAGCTGTAGCTTCCTCGCTCTGTGACACCAGCACACACTTTTCTGACGACTTTATGGGCTGAGTCACTAGTTTGATGTCATAAAAACATGTAGAGTCAGAATGGAGGATTATTCTGATTATGTTTATTGGCTAATGAATTGTCAACCACAGGTTGCTAAACGGCACTCGGTGTCTACGGTTTCCCAGTTTAAGTTTTCAGTTTCAAAACAGAGATTTCAATGATAAAAACACTCTGTGGCTTCATAATCAAACTTCACATCGTTTCGAGACATCGTTTCAAACAAGCTATTTAAGCTTCATTCATTTTCAGTCAGTTTTCTTCTGATTTGCTACCCATTACAAACAGATTCGTGCAGCAGGTGGCTGCTGTCTTGGTAAATTATTGAAAATAAATCCTCTTTCTCTCTGACATCATAAAGATCCACTAGCAGAAAAAACTGTCTGAATCTTTATAGCCGTCTCAAACCTGGGATTTTGGCTCTCAGTGATTACATGCAAAGTCTGAAATGTCGACACAATTCAGGAGCTGGACACAGATCATATTTTTTTCATTAAAAATCACTTCTTTTCATGATCAAAGATTAATTTTATGTCCACTGGCAAAAAATGGTTCACCTCTGTGAAATCTGCTGTGTTATAAAGCTGGAAAAAGTTCATCCTCATACATAACACACATTAATAATGGGACTGACCTTTATAGTATAGGAACCAGTTTCTATATATAACATGAACAAAAAGGGAGATTAATAATGCCCCATAAAGCTGATAAAAGAGGTGGTCTTGTATCTCAACTTAAAGTGACCTTGTTGTGCCTGATAAGTGATCAGTATCCGTGTTAATATTTTACCTTCTCCATGTAGCTGTCCTCTCCCTGAGCAAGAAGTCAGCCCACAGCCACAGTGAAGAGTTGGAAATGAATGATCAAGGCAAGAAGAGGCGATGAAGAGAAACAAAGGAGGAAAGAAAGCAGAGAGAAGCACCAGGGATAAACAGAAAAAGTGTCAGAAAAGTGACAGATTCTGGATTGTTTTGTTTGTTTTCGCACAAATCATTTGATCAAATCAGTAGTGCAGCAGGAAATTGAAAAAGCTTAAAGTAGAGCTAAAGAAGTACTCAGTGATAGTAGTTCTACATCCCAAACCCAGATCAGATTAGATCAAAATAGCATAATAGAAGCAGACAGAGGAAATCATGTAAAGTTAGAGGAGTCTATTTATATGAAAGAAACTAAAGTGGGTCTAAGCTGAGCC